TCGATAACACACCACTTTTATTACATAGTAGAGAGTTATCTAATTTATCAAACAGTCAATTTTCATTCGACCTTCTTAATACAAACGGTTATCACGTTCATCAATACAATGGAATGCCAGCATCCTTTATAGGTTCTACGCAAGATAATTCTCCTGCACAAAATATTTATTTCACATCATCAGAATATTTTAATAATTCCAATTTAGAATTTCATGATCTAGAGTTATAGCGCCACTATCTAAGAAATAAACCTCCTTTTTAATTATAAATGATAACTTCAGTTTATATCAATGAAATGCAATTTTTATGTATAAATAATCATTAATTCCTTAAAGATAGTCAATTCAATTTTCTTTGCTCCCTTTAACAATTGTTATGATGACGGTAGAACACATACATTTTACAATTCAAGTCAAATATTATTTACCTATTTAAAATACCTCTTAGCAATTTACATTTCTCACATATCTACAGCGCGGACCATAGTACCCGGTGTGATGCAAAATTTAGCTTAGTGTTGAAAATTTACAAATTACATGATTTTCGCATCACGTACATACGTACGTGCATAAATAGTATTTTAAATATTTATTGTATCGGGTACTAAGGTCCGTAATTTATACGTATGCATGTTTAAGATTACAAGCGAAATTGATTACAAAAGCATGTATAAAGGTGATTTTTTTTCTTTACAAAATATAGTGTCAAATGTTTTTTTTAGTGCAATTGACATAAATATGTATTACCGAATTTTTGTTCATATAGATTAAGCAGGAGAAATATTCTTGTAGCTCTTACACACACATATATATATCTTATTAGTTTAAATAAAGGAATTTTATTATTTAACCAATAAAACACTGATAATACAGTACATTAGGGTGTTATTTGTAGACTATCATATAATAATATCATAATTCGTACTTATTTTCAAGTTTACGATTCAAATTTTAATTTATGTTGTATTTTATTAAGTTAGTCAATTTTATTAATAAAATTAAAATTTCAGATTTT